TTGATGCACATTGTGAAATATATTGCCAGAACTTACTTGCATAAGCTGTTCTAGTTGTTGGTGGATAATTAGGGCAAGTTTGATTTTTAATGGGCAATTTCAAATCTTCTGTCTTCGGGTGGGGTAAATGGGAAAATACTAGTAAGCACCGTTAGCTATAATCGGAACTAGTTTCAACTTTCCTAGGAAGTTTGGATATTAAATTCAATACTAGTCCGCAATCTAATTTGATCTTCCCCTAGCCACAGAATTTCTTTAAAAGCTACACACAATTCGGAAGAAGGTACAGTTCAATTCTAGTCAGAAATCAGAACATTTATCTAAACAAAAAAATGTTTAAATTTGTAAGTCAACATAATACTATTACCTTATCACGATATAAAATCTCTGTATTCCCCTCTAGGTCCTTGTTGCCACCCTCTTGGCCTTGGTTATGGCCAATGAGCCCCTTCTCAAGAACTATGTAAACGATGTTCGTGCCGATGGTTTTGAAACCAATTGGGATTTGGAACATCACAGCAGCCAGCATGTTGTCGGCGATGTACATGGTAATATGCAAGGATCCTATGAATATATCACTCCGGAGGGCGAACATGTTAAGGTTACCTATACTGCCGATGAAAATGGTTATCATCCCGAGGGTGAATGGATCCCTACACCACCACCAATCCCAGATTATATCTTGAAGGCCATTAAATATATCGAGAGCCATCCCCATCCAGAACATTAATCGGAAAGAAATATATGTATGAATTTCAAAGAAATGAACAGGACAAAAATAAAAAATCTTTAAAAAAATATTTACTTAAAAATTATTTTGAAAAATCTATGATTTGGGGTTCCTGAAGGGGTCTTAACAATAAATTTGAAAAATCCATGAATTGGGGTCCTGAAGGGGTCTTAACAATAAATTTGAAAAATCTATGAATTGGGGTCCTGAAGGGGTCTTAACAATAAATTTGAAAAATCTATGAATTGGGGTCCTAAAGGGGTCTTAACAATAAATTTGAAAAATCTATGAATTGGGGTCCTGAAGGGGTCTTAACAATAAATTTGAAAAATCTATGAATTGGGGTCCTGAAGGGGTCTTAACAATTATTTAAAAAATCCACGCCTTACGGCCTCTAAGTACGGCTTAAAAATTGTTTAAAAAATCCACGCTAAGTAGAGCTTTAGAAAATTAAAAAAAGCCACGCCTTATGGCCTCTAAGTAGAGCTTTAGAAAAGTAAAAAAAAGCCACGCCTTATGGCCTCTAAGTAAAGCTTAAAAATAATTAAAAACCAGTAAGGAAAGTTCAAAAGTCGGACGGGGTCGACTATATGATACCCTTCACCACTATGGGTACATGCAAGACATGTTAATATCTACAATATCCTGTAGATATAGACATTTCGCATACATCAGTCGGGACCTAATTCAGTACTCTGTGCAAAATATTGCTTTAGTCGGACCACTATTGGGAGTTTGGTGCACTATTTACATGAAATCGGACGAAACTATGCCAAATTTCATACAAATCGGATCATAAATGCGATCTGCATATGCGGACATGCATATATCGACTCAGAAAGTGATTCTATGCATATTCACAAAAGGAACCATGGGTCTATCTCGATAATTTTTGCCTGTTACATACATATGCACAACGACACAATACCCTGTACCACAGTGCGGTGAAGGATATAAAAAGGTCGTTATAAGGGGACCACCCCTAAAAGGAGGCGAATATTAGTAATTTTTAGGAGGGAGGTTTGTTACCATATACGACTACAAAAAACCAAATTACAAAGAATTTGGTTGAAAAACGCGTTCAAGAACCCCAAAATACCGAAAATTGGGGGGTACCCTTATATGGGGGCTACCCGAAAAAGTGGACCTATATTTATTATTTTTAGTGGAGATATTTGCTACCTAATAATAACTCGATGTACTAAATTAAAGTCAATTCGGTCGAAAAATACGATCAGAACCCCCAAAATAAAGTGATTCTATGCATATTCTCAAAAGGAACCATGGGTCTATCTCGATTATTTTTGCCTGTTACAAACATATGCACAAAGACATAATACCCTGTACCACAGTGTGGTGAAGGGTATAAAAATCCACGCCTTATGACCTCTGAGTACGGCTTACAAATAATTAAAAAATCCACGCCTTATGGCCCCTGAGTACGGCTTAAAAATAATTAAAAAAATCCACGCCTTATGGCCTCTAATCACAGTTTAAAAATTATTTAAAAATCCACGCCTTATGGCCTCTAAGTACGGCTTAAAAATTATTTAAAAAATCCAGGCCTTATGGCCTGTGCATAGGTCTTAAAAATGATTTAAAAAATCCAGGCCTTATGGCCTGTGCATAGGTCTTAAAAATGATTTAAAAAATCCAGGCCTTATGGCCTGTGCATAGGTCTTAAAAATGATTAAAAAAATCCACGCCTTATGGCCTCTAAGTACGGCTTAAAAGTTATTTAAAAATTCACGCTTTATGGCCTTTAAGTACGACTTTAAAATGATTTAAAAAATCCACGCCTTATGGCCTCTAAGTACGGCTTAAAAATTATTTTAAAAATTCACGCCTTATGGCCTCTAAGTACGGCTTAAAAATTATTTTAAAAATTCACGCCTTATGGCCTCTATGTACGGCTTAAAAATTATTTAAAAAATTCACGCCTTATGGCCTTTAAGTACGGCTTAAAAATTATTTAAAAAATCCACCCCTTATGGCCTCTAAGTACGGCTTAAAAATTATTTAAAAAATCCACGCCTTATGGCCTCTAAGTACGGCTTAAAAGTTATTTAAAAAATTCACGCCTTATGGCCTCTAAGTAGAGTTTAAAAATTATTTTAAAAATTCACGCCTTATGGCCTTTAAGTACGGCTTAAAAATTATTTAAAAAAATTCACGCCTTATGGCCTTTAAGTACGGCTTAAAAATGATTTAAAAAATCCACGCCTTATGGCCTCTAAGTACGGCTTAAAAATTATTTAAAAAATCCACGCCTTATGGCCTCTAAGTACGGCTTAAAAGTTATTTAAAAATTCACGCTTTATGGCCTTTAAGTACGACTTTAAAATGATTTAAAAAATCCACGCCTTATGGCCTCTAAGTACGGCTTAAAAATTATTTTAAAAATTCACGCCTTATGGCCTCTAAGAACGGCTTAAAAATTATTTTAAAAATTCACGCCTTATGGCCTTTAAGTACGGCTTAAAAATTATTTAAAAAAATTCACGCCTTATGGCCTTTAAGTACGGCTTAAAAATTATTTAAAAAATCCACCCCTTATGGCCTCTAAGTACGGCTTAAAAATTATTTAAAAAATCCACGCCTTATGGCCTCTAAGTAGGGCTTAAAAGTTATTTAAAAAATTCACGCCTTATGGCCTCTAAGTACGACTTAAAAATGATTTAAAAAATCCACGCCTTATGGCCTCTAAGTACGGCTTAAAAATTATTTTAAAAATTCACGCCTTATGGCCTCTATGTACGGCTTAAAAGTTATTTAAAAAAATTCACGCCTTATGGCCTTTAAGTACGCCTTAAAAATTATTTAAAAAAATTCACGCCTTATGGCCTTTAAGTACGGCTTAAAAATTATTTAAAAAATCCACGCATTATGGCCTCTAAGTACGGCTTAAAAATTATTTAAAAAAACCAACGCCTTATGGCCTCTAAGTAGAACTTAAAAATTATTTAAAAAATCCACGCATTATGGCCTCTAAGTACGGCTTAAACATTATTTTAAAAATCCACGCCTTATGGCATCTGGATCCTTAAAAATTCTCAACTTTCTCTCTCTCTCTCTTTTGTCTTCCTAAATTTCATTCATAACATCAAAGATTTTTATTAATAGCCTCTTAATTAATATTGAAAACAAATTATTTACATTCATTATTCTATACAAATTCCAAATTAATTGCTCCAATTCCCAAGAACAACCCAAACACACACATAAAAAAATTTGTTTCAGGAAAAGGTCAAAAACGTCGTTATTGATTCCTTATTAATATTAAACGTGTACCGGCCGAATTCCGTTTACATTTACTTCAAAAAAAATGTATCCCGCAATTTCTAAACATTTACATGAAGATAAATGGCCTTGATCCGCAAAATGACAATAGACCAGAAGCGGATGTGGGAACAAATTTTGAGGAAGAGGAAATGTTTTTTGAAGAACCCTCGGGTCCTTGCAAAATATTCTTTAAAAAATCCTCGACTTATGTAGGTCATTAAAACTTACACCCCTTATGTAGGTCCTTAAAAATGCTCTTTAAAAATCCAGCCTCTATGAAGCTCCTTGAAAAAATATTATTTGAAAATCCACTCCTATGTATGTCCTTAAAAATTTTCTTTAAAAAACCAGGTCCTTAAAACACATTCTTTAATAAATCCTCGCCTATGTAGGTCCTTGAAAAAATTTTGAAAAATATTCAATTCAAAAAAATCCACACCTTATGTAGGCCCTTAAAACAAATTCTTTAAAATATACACGATTTAAATCTTCATCAGTTTGTAAGTTCGACAAAATATTTTAAAAAAATCTACGCTTCCTAATCTATGCAAATATCCCCATGAAAAATTGATTTCACTACACCTCTGACCCAAAATTGCTGCTGAAAGTAAACCAGCCAAAGATGGATATGTTTTTTGGGGGCTAAATGTTAAATTTGTATTATTTTTTATTAATTCCTTAAATAAGATGTTAATGAAACAAGATTTTCAACATTGCTCATAAAAAAAAACAAAACCGAAATAAAAAATCTTTCCTTGAAGTAATTGCAATCTCCAGACAGCTGGCTGGCTGGTTGGCAGAGTTCATTCTGCTTCCAAAAATAAAAAAAAAACGTTAATTACGAATTAAACGTAATTTTACGTAGCTAGAATTTTTTGTGAAGACACAATAAAACAACAAACATTAACTTCGAAATTAATATAAAAACCTCAAATAAATCTCACATCGACATCAGTTACTTTTCGGTAAGCAGAACAATTGCAGAAAAATGAAATATGTAAGTAGAACGAAAGCTAAATTCTGAAATCTGGCAAACAAATCCCTAATTTTCTTATTCATCCTTTGCAGTTAATTTTATTTGCCCTATTGGCCTTGGCTGCCGCCAACGATGATGAAGTCCATGCCGAAATTAAGGCATTGAAGTCGGATGTCCGCCCAGATGGTTTCGATTATAATTTGGAGACAAGCAACAACATTCACCAGGAGGCTGCCGGTGATGAACATGGCAATATGCATGGCTCCTATGAGTACGTCTCACCTGAAGGTGAACACATCAAGGTCACCTATGTAGCCGATGAAAATGGCTATCATCCTGAAAGTGATATCCTACCCACGCCACCACCAATTCCCGAAGCTATCCTTAAGGCTATCGAATATATTAAGGCTCATCCACCAGCAGCTGATCCAGAACATTAGGCGGGGGATACTCAACCAATAAAGTGGTGGATTTTGTAAATATTTGAATATTTTTTGAAAATAAAGAAGAGTTGAAAAACAACTGCCATGGAAAACCCAAAAACAAAACAATTGAACAAATATTATTTAAAAAATCTGCTGGCAAAGGATGCTTTACAATATATTCTGAAACTGCAGGAAAATATATTCTTAAATAAATTTTAGGCTCTGAACCTCTCGAAAATATGCGCCTTGTGAGGATCCTTGAAAAAATATTTAAAAAAATCAACGAATCGTGAGGATCCTTGAAAATTTATTTTTAAACCGGTAAGGAAAGTAGTAAAGTCGGACGGGACCGACTATATGATACCCTTCACCACTTGGGGTAAATAAAAGAGATGCTCATATGTACAATATCCTGAAGAAACGACAAAATTAAATGTGTGGACTAAATAGATATTTGAACTAATTTAAAACAACATATACACATACAATTCGGAAATCTTTTGAAAAATTGCATGTTAATCAAACGGACTTGGGTTCTTTGATATACCATTTGAATGAAATCGAGCACAATTATTTTTGGGAGTTATATCCAAGTTTATACTAAGTTTAATTTGAACCGATTTTCTGGAAACTTAAGACATTCTAGACTCAATACAGTACGATATGCCAAGTTTCGTGCAAATCGAAAGATATTTGGGGAGTTTAGTGCACCATTTACCTTAAATCGGACGAACATATATATGGGAGCTATATCTAAATCTGAACCGATTTTCACGAAACTTAGCACACATTATTCCAGTCTCAATTCAGTACTATATGCCAAGTTTCGAGCAAATCGAAAGGTATATAGGGACTTTGGTACACCATTTACCTTAAATCGGACGAAAATATATATGGGAGCTATATCTAAATCTGAACCGATTTTCACGAAACTAAACACACGTCCTTCTAAACTTAATTTAGTACGCTGTGTCAAATTTCGTGCAAATCGAAAGATATATAAAGACTTTGGTGCACCATTTACCTTAAATGGGATGAAAATATATATGGGAGCTATATCTAAATCTGAACCGATTTTCACGAAACTTAGCACACATCTGTCTAGGCTGACTTCAGTACGCTGTGTCAATTTTCGTGCAAATCGGAAGATTTATAGAGACTTTGGTGCACCATTTACCTTAAATCGGAAGAAAATATATATGGGAGCTATATCTAAATCTGAACCGATTTTCACGAAACTTAACACACATCCTTCTAGACATAATTTAGTATGTTGTGTAAAATTTCGTGCAAATGGAATGATATATAGGGACTTTGGTGCACCATTTAACTTAAATCGGATGAACATATATATGGGAGCTATATCTAAATCTGAACCGATTTTCACGAAACCTAACACACATCAGTCTAAGCTGACTTCAGTACGCTGTGCAAAAGTTCGTGCAAATCAGAAGATTTATACGGACTTTGGTGCACTACTGACCTTAAATCGGATGAAAATATATATGGGAGCTATATCTAAATCTGGGCCGATTTTCACGAAACATAGCACACATCATTCTAGGCTTATTTCAGTACGCTATACCAAATTTCGTGCAAATTGAATGATATTTAGGGACTTCGGTGCACCATTTACATAAAAATCGGACGAAAATATATATGTGGCAGATATATCTAAATCTGAACCGATTTTCTCGAAACTTAAGGGAACCCCCCCCATTCTCAATTCTTTATTTTTAAGATTTTAAATGGGCTGGTAAATGAATACCAATGCTTGTTAAGGTTTGTAACTTTGCACATATATATTTGAAGATTTAAAGAGGAAGAAAAATAATTTACAAAAAAATTTTGTTGTTGTCTTGTTGTTGTTTTTGGTGATTAAAGAAAAGTCCTTATTTTTGATGGCGGGCATGATAACTCCTCACTGGAACATCGGAATCCGAAAATTCCAACGGTTTTAGAAAGAGTACATGTCTGGCTCTCGTATGAACTAGGATTATTGGCTTCGTTCTAAAATTAACAAAATGGCGGACCTTTGAAAAAATATTTTTGGAAAATCGCCGATTTTTGACCAAAAACCAAGGTAAAAAATAAGGAAGATCTTCACCGATTGGCTTTATCCTAGTTCATACGATAGCGATACACTCACAGAGAAACGTGTCAAAATTTGGAATCGATTGGGTTATTAGTTTTTGAGTTATCGTGCCCGCCATTCGCAAAAGAGAAAAACGCGTTTAAAGTTTGAGAAGCCCTTTAGCCGTCACTTGATGCTGACACAATAAATCGGCTATATCTTCAAAAGTTCTTGAGATTTTCACTTGAAATTTTGTAAGGACATTCTTGAATTAGTGTAGATTCGAATTAAATCAAAAAAAATTTGACCCCGAGAATGGGGGGGGTCCCCTTAAGCCAAATTTCTTGCAAATCGAAAGATATTTGGGTACTTTAGTGCACCATTTACCTTAAATCGGACGAAAATATATATGGAAGCTATATCTAAATCTGAATCGATTTTCAGGAAACTTAGCACACATCTGTCTAGGCTGACTTCAGTACCCTGTGCCAAATTTCGTGCAAATCGAAAGATATTTCGGGACTTTAGTGCACCATTTACCTTAAATCGGACGAAATTATATATGGGAGCTATATCTAAATCTGAACAGATTTTTCCCAATTTCAATACGGTTCGTCCTTGGGCCAAGTGAATGAGCTGTGCCAAATTTCATCCAATTCGAATAATAAATGCGACCTGTACTTTGTTTACAATTTAACATGGACAGACAGACGGACGGACATGCATAAATCGACTCGGAATGTGATTCTATGCATATTCTCAAAATGAACCATGTGTCTATCTCGTTTCCTTTTGCCTGTTACAAACATATGCACAAAGACATAATACCCTGCACCACAGTGTGGTGAAGGGTATAAAAATCGACGTCTCTGGTTGCTACTTGAAAAAATATTTTTAAACAAGTGAGCGTAGCAGTATCGTTGGACGGAGCCGACCATACGATACCCTACACAACTATGACGGAGTTCTGTCTTTCTGTGGATGTTTATTCCGAGCCTGGGCAATATTTCGTGACATTTGCAGCCTCTTGCCCGATTAGAGGTCAACAGCACCTCTTCACAACACTGACATATTTTCCGAATATTTCTAATATGTAGTGTAGCCCTTCTAATTACTTGTCCAGATTGCCTTCTCCGTGTGTTGCATGGTGATGTTCGGCTTATAACTGTGGCCTATAGATCGATACAAAAAATACAAAAGAACAAAAAATATGTCTTCGGTCCACTTCATCCCAAAATTATTAACTGATCATCATGGAAAATTATAGGCGCTGTCCTTGACCATAACTGGAAACCCATGGGAAATTTCAAATCGACCAGCGTTATATTTCCGCCCTCTAGTGAGGTAATGGGTTACTATTTAATATCTGAATACGTAAGCACCTGTAACTATTTAAGTGTAACTCCCACATCCGAGAATATACGGCAATATAATTGATATCAATTTCAAGGTCAACCACTCCTCTTGATTATATGATCAACTTCTCTGGTCTATATCCTTCAGGGGTAAATATATATGCTGTAGAATATCAATTTTGTTATTTTTCACACAAAAGTTAGGGTCCATTTGACCCGCTAAATATTGATCGATCTGTATCAAAACAAGCATGCTTTTTCTTTGGCCCGATCCTCTTCTCCATGTAAAAAATCGCGATGTTCAGAAAATCAGACAAAAAAAGTTGTTGGTCCTTTTTTATCCCCTAAATATTAACCGATCTCTAAAAACAATAGCGGTCTTCATTGATCAGAACCAATCCTGCATGCAAAATTTCGTGAAGATTGGTCCATAACTATGGCCTGTATCGTGTGTACAAGTTATAATGGACAGACGGACGGACGGATACACATGTCTTGACCGACTAAGATAGTCGAAATATGATCGGTATACTTAAAGGTGGGTCTATTATCAATAGTTCGCGGCGTTACAAACTCTTGGGGCTGCCCAAAGCTATAATACCCTGACAACATAGTTGCCTCTATGTATACCTTAAAAAATATTTCAAAAGAATCCACGGCTTAGGTAGCTACTTGAAAAAATATTTCCAAAGAATCCAAGTCTTAGGTAGCCACTTGAAAAAATATTTCCAAAGAATCCACGTCTTAAGTAGCCACTTGAAAAAATATTTTCAAAAAATCCACGCCTTGGTGGCTACTTATAAATATTTTCAAAAAATCCACTCCTTGGTGGCTATTAAAAAAAATATTTTTAGAAAATCCACGCCTTGGTGGCTACTTAAAAAAATATTTTAAAAAAATCATGCATTATGTATTAAGAATTATTTGCAGATACGACGAACATGATCCGTTAACGTCATTCAGGCAAAAAAAAAAAAAAATAATAATAATCCAAGCCAAACGAATACCGGTTAAAAAATAAAATACAAATTTGTTATTAAAATGAACAGTTATAATCGAAAACATGATTTGATCAAAATATTTACGTTCAATTTCTGGAAATTGCATCTGGTTTCAAAACAAATTTTCATACAAAAAATTATTATTAAATACAAAATCACGTTTCATTTGATTCCTTGGACCAGTAGCTTCGATTAAAATGAATTCAATTTGATCATACGTTATGAATATGATTTTATTCTGTTTGATTCTAGAATGGAATATATAGTGGAATGAAACATAAAATAATTTTTTTCAAATTGGAATTCATGTTTTTCTATGCATAATTTGTGAATGGAAATCAGGTTTAGAAACTGGGTCAAGTTTAATAGTTTTTTTTAGTAGCCGAAAATAAAAATGAAATGCAGCTTTGAGGGAATCCGTATGAATGATTCATTTCGAAACTTATTTTCGAGAATTGAGATAAAGAAAAACTTTTATGTAGGTTACGAACTGCAGATTAGATTTAAGTAATTGCAGATCAGTCATATATTTTACTCCATGTTCCATATTTTTGATAGAACCGTTGGATATTTAAAAAATAACAATAT